ATAATTATTTGGCTTACTTTAAATAAATCATCTGAATATAATTTTTCATGTAAATATAATGAAGAATTTCTCACATGAGGTCTATAATTTGTCACCATAGTACCCCAAGCCAAGAGTGTAAAGCCAGACAACGTCCCAGGAACCAAGAAGAGCTTTGTCGGCAGCAGACTGGAGCAGTAGAGCAAGACTTTTGTTGACTCCGAAAACTTCGAAGGATTGTGCACAAAGGTACGATCCGTCACGTAAGCATGGAACTGGATTCGTGAAGCCTTGATCTCGGTGAACCCGATTCCTTACCCGACACCTTGAGAGGCTTGAGGGTCGATTCCAAGAAGCTCTCCGAGAAGACCAAACATCGACGTGGTGCTTACGATCGAGCAAGCGGGAAATCTATAACCGTTAAACCTATTTTAAACGACTCAAGCCCTAATTTTGACGGTGAGGATGTGGCCATCCGAACGTTGCGTCCCGCCATTCGGTGCGAGAGCTTTGGTGCGGCAGCTATGGCGCCCAAGAAGGGCAAGGGCAAAGGGAAGAAGAAGGGCGCCGCACCAAAGCCAGACTCTGGCTGGATCAAGGTCCTGTGATTTGATCGATCCATGGATTTCTCACATTTGTTTTCACTTAGGCGCTTGAAAATGGAAAATGGGAGAGACCGCTGGAAGCTCTTCCTGACCCCGTGGTTTCGCCTGCCTTTAACGAGACTCGTCTCAATTTGCTAGCGACATGTAACTTGGTAAGTTCTATGCTTTTCTTTCCTCGTTCTTAGCAGCTCAGCTCATGTTGTAGATATCTATCATCTGGAGTTCCAGAGTGGATGAGCCTTTCATCACCGAGCTCTTCAGCGTTCCTCGCCCAAATCTTGTAAGTTCCTCTTGAATCCTCTGGGATCGTCTCAAAGTTCTATCTCCAGGAGAAACTAGAGCTCCGGGGAGCCAAGTTCTTGACCAGGTATGTCATGTCGCCTTACACTGTTGCTCCAGCGCTCAAGGAACTGGATTTATCGTGCTGTGCGGCTCTAAACTACGTCTTGATAGAGGTACCTTCTCTCATTGCTCTTTTCCGGCAGACTTTGCTCACAGTGCGTGACATTTCGCAGTCGAATTCTCTCGAGAGAATCTCTCTAGCGCGGTGCGTCCACTTGAAAACAGCACACATTGTAGTTCGAGGATTGAAAGAGCTCGATCTCGAGCAATGCAACGAGCTCGTCGATCTGATGCTTTGGAGCGATGTGATAACCACGCTTAATCCTCCTTACAAAGAGAAGATCAGGCTAGAACTCTACTGCCCCCAGCTCAAAAACTTCGAATGGCCTCCTGTCAAGGTGATGAAAACTTTCCTCTTTCTTGCCAGAAAATAACTTCTTTTTCTTTTTGCAATCCAGATCATAAAACCGGAAGTGGTGCCTCCGCCACCATTGCGAGAACTTCTTGCACAGGACAAGATCAATGAGAAATACGATCTGGAGCAACGAAAAGTTCTCGAGCCTGGATTTACTGGGACGATCGACGCACCAAAAACACCTTACTTGGCATTTAACTCCTACTTAAAGTCGCTCTAGAGCCCTAGGCGAAGGAGCAGCAGTGTTCTCCCGGTGCTACGAGATGAGGTATGAAGCTTGCAAATTTCTTTCCCCTCAGAAAAAAAAACGAAATTTTTTGTGTGTTCTTGCGGCAGTGACCCAAATGGCGATAAGCTCATTCTTCGTGGCATGATCTTCCACGGCTACCACGGCGTGTACGACGAAGAGAAGAAATTGGGCCAAAAGTTCCTGGTGGACGCGGATGTGTGGACCGATTTGTCCAAGGCTTGCAACAGCGACAACATCGAGGATTCAATCAGCTATGGAGCGATCTACAGGTAGAAACTTGGAAGAATTCCTCCCAAAAATCGATTTTTTTGGTGCCAGGATCGTCAAGGCTGTGGTAGAAGGTCCACCATTTTCTCTCTTGGAGGCCGTGGCAGCGAGCATTGCAAAGGGCGTGTTTGAGAGATTTCCATCCGCGACGAGCATTCGCGTGAGAGTGGGAAAGCCTCACGTTGCTGTCAAAGGGAGCGTAGATTATTTGGGAGTAGAGATTTTTCGAAGAAACCCATCCAGCAATAAAGAGATTTAGGGTTCTTGGAGATTTTGATTCTAGGGTTTTAGTTCTTCCGCGATGGCGGCCGAGGAAGAAGGCGCGGGGATGGATTCCCTGTCCGGATTGCGCATGGACATCGGCAATCTGCTCGTCTTCGACGCTACTGATCCAGGAATCGAGGAGGCGTCGACTTCCAGGTAGGGAGGATTTTCTTCTCGCTCGGATGGAGCTACATTTTTCTCCTTGTGGATGATTTCTAGCGATGATTATGACGAGCAATGCCTCCGAAAGGGCGCTCGAGCCATTCAAGCGCTGGCAGAGAAGCTGTTTAACATGCCTTCTGAGGCGGATAAGTATGGGCGTCTCGTGATCTTGCCTCCTCCCACAACAAAGCTTCCTAGAGAAAAACCTGTGAGTAGAAATTCTTTCTTTTTTCTCCTTCTCAGTCATTTTGGATTTGTCCTTGTAGCTCCCGAAGCCGCGGCCACCCACGAAATGGGAGCAATTTGCACAGAGCAAAGGTAATCTATCTTGTGTGGTCTCTTTGGATTTGTGTCTACAAGGAATTTTTTTTTTTTTTCCAGGTATAAAGAAGAGAAAACGCAGCAAGCTAGATTTCGATGAAGACGCTGGGGAATGGAGAAGGCGGTATGGTTATAAGAGAGTTGCAGATGAGCGAGACATACCTGTAATTGAGGCCAAGAGCACTGATGGTAAGTGGCTTTTGTTTCCATATTTGGTTTCACTTAGCGCATTTGTCTCTCTGGGTTATGCAGAACCTGGAGAAGATCCATTCTCAAACATGAAGAAAGAAAAGAAGGCACGCATTGAAAAGCAAGAGAAGAATCGTCTCCAGAACTTGAAACACACGCTCAAAGTTGCCGGAAAATCTGCGCTCCCGAGGTAAATATTATTAGTCTCAAACCATATCGTCTGATTGTTGTTTTGATCATTAGTACTGTCCAATTGTCGACGATGGCTTTGCCTATAACCGGCTCCGCGCAAGTTCCAAAGAAACTCACGAAAGATGAACTCGGCGAGATTGCTGGACACGCAAGTACTGCTACGGCCAGCGTAGGCAAGTTTGATCGTAAGCTGGAGGGTGAAAAGCCGGCAAAACACGCAGGAAAGCATCGAAAGGTGAGATTTCTGTTCTCCCTTTTCCCTTCTGTTATTCTTTGTTCTTAACGCATAAAAAATGTGTAATACAGTTCCTTCCAGTCGTTGGATCCTCCAAAGAGGAGAAACAACAGTCCGATAAGATTCTGGACAAAGTGCTCTCCCGTCACAATCAGGAGATTGTTGATGTGAACAAGGTGAGCGATTTGATTTTCGCCTTTCGTGCCCTGGCGAACTTCTCTCACGGCGTGCTTGGCTTTTGTGTAGGCTGTTCGCAGCTACAACACATCGCAGCAGAGCCAACGCGAGCATCAAAACATCGCTAATGGTGGCCACAGTAAAAAGAAATTTGGGCGTGGCGGTGGTAGAAAGGGGCCATCCAGGGACAAAAACAAGCTGGCCGGAAGAAACAAAGCCTCTAAAGGCTCCAAGTTCGCCAGAGGTAAAGATGCCAAATAGGACTGAGGACGGATGCGCTGGACTCTATCGCCAAAGTATCGACAGGGTATGTGACGAGATGAAAAGTTGTCGAAAATTAACAGCTTTTTTTCCAGATCACCGTGAAAGAGCCTTGCAACAGTCGCGGCCACCACGATTCAGTGAGTGGTGGACATAGACAGGATGGTTTTTGATCCTCCACTGCCTGGAATCACCTTGGAAATTTGCAGATTAACAGATCAGCTTCTCTCCGATAGATAAGATCCCGGACAAAGTTATCTCCCATGACGTTGCAAGCTAGAGTGGATTCGATTTCTCCCACTGCCGTGCCTTGCGTGGCCTGGTAAAATTCCTTTCTCGTGACACGCTTGGCTTTTGTATAGGCTGAAGCATCGCTCGCTAGTGAAAAAAAGAATTGCGCGTGGATGAGTGATCATCCAGGGATAAAAACAAGTTGGCCGGAAGAAACATGTCCACTAGCCAGAGGTAAAGCTGCCAAGTTGGGGGTATTGTATCAAAGTATCATTGTATGCTCTTTTCTCCCTTGATAGTGATTTCTCGATCTTCGCTCTTGGTAGGACCATCGTCTCTTTATTTTTTCTCCTTTGTGCCAATACTTGATTGCCTTCCTTTGCCTCAATTATCCTTGCTTTTGCTTGACCCATGGTTTCTAGAAGTCCTCGTTGGGTTGGATTGATTGAGGAAATAGCGTTTCTAGAAGAGCTCTTTTTCACTGTTCTTTGTTCTTTGTTTTCAGCTGTATGGATAGAGCTTTCCGCGACACTGACGTGTTTCATCAGGCAGTGTGTCAGATATCTCTGGAATCATGCAGCGTGATGATGCAGGCGAGGAAGGACGTTTTGTACTGGTTGTTGCTTGATCTCGCCACCTTTTTATTCTCAAGAGATTCTTCCCTTGGAAGGAAGACATCAATTTGTTTGACAAGTTTTGGGAAGAAATGGAAGAGAGCGATTTTCCAGTGGTCAAGCCAACTGAAAGCAAAAGGCCATTGGACCACAAACCATAGACAAGATCAAGTCGGAGTTTTGTTGCGAATTTTCCATGGTACAAAATAATATGGAAGCTTCCATGGACATGCATGCACATGCGCCGGCCATGTGCACATGCCACGTATTGCGGCTGCTTTGGCGGAGGCCTGCGCCACGTCACGCGGAGCCGACCACGTGGAGCCGGCGATAAAATGTAACCGTAAATCCACTTGCCACGTGGGTGAGTGCATAGATTCCGACCGCCAGATGCGTGTGACGCAAGCGGGCTGATCGACGTGTTTGCCAGCGGGGCGGCCGTGCGGTGAGGTGGCGAAAGGCAGGCATAAATAGGGTTTTCGGTGCCGTGCTTGACTCGAGTTCGCGCTTTGCTTATAAGCGTCGCATTCTCGCGGAAGAACAGTCTTTCCTGGGTGAGAGATTCGATGCAATTGACTTGGATCGATCGACCCACCGCGATTTCTTCCTAGTTGCTTCAGCAGGGAAGAGGATAGAGCTTTGTTTCCATTCTAGCTTCGTGTAATCTCCCGATTCGAGCAGTGCCAGGTATAAGAAATCCACTGGGCACGAAGCATTCGATCGTTCTCATCTGGGTCTCGATCAATTTCTCGCAATCTGATCGTCAAGTTCCAAATGGCGCCTTTGCAAGAACTCATCCCGGGCCTCCCTTTCGACGTCGCGCTCCACTGCCTGGTTCGTGTTCCTCACACCAGCCATCCCCAAATGCAGCGCGTGTGCCGCGAGTGGGAGAGCCTCATCGCCAGCCCGGATTTCTACGCGCTGCGCAAGAAATGTGCCACTACCCGTTCCGCGATCGTCGTCGCGCAAGCCCATAAATCTCCCAAATCTCCGGAAGAACAGCAGCCACCAAAGGGCGCCCTGCCGCCATTTGGGCTCAGTCTCTACTACCCAAGCTCGCGATCCTGGGAGAGAATTCCGCCCATCCCGGAGCTCGGCGATCATGGCGGGATCCCCCTTTTCTCCGGCATCGCGGCGGTGGAATCGAAGCTCTTCATCGTCGGGGGCTGGAATCCCAGCTCCTTCCAGGCGATGAGGAGCGTCTTCGTGTTTGATTTCTCGCGCGGCGCCTGGAGCAGGGGATCCGACATGCCCGGCGCCGCCAGATCCTTCTTCGCGTGCTGCGCGGTGGGCGACGACTCCATCTTCGTCGCGGGCGGGCACGACGAGAGCAAGAACGCGCTGCGCAGCTGCGATCGCTACCTCGTCCGCGAGGATCGCTGGGAGGCCATGCCGGACATGACCCAGGAGCGCGACGAGAGCAGGGGGATCGCGATCGATCGGTCATCGCAGCGATTGGGTCCCAAATTCGGCGTCGTCAGCGGCTATGGCAGCGATTCCCAGGGCGAATTCAGCCGCAGCGCCGAGTTCTTGGATCCCGCCACGGGGAAGTGGTCGCGCGCCGAGGACCTCATCGACGACTCCTTGGTTTCGCACAGGGACGGCACGAATCTCTTCGTGGGCGCCGGCGATTCGATCGTCTACTGCTGCTCGCGCTCCAGCGGCGAGATCTGGAGGCTGGATTGCTGCGATCATCCGCGCAACGCGACGAATCGCTGCTCCAGGAGGGTGGGGCAATTGCCGGCTAATTGCGGCAAGGCGGTGGCGGCGTGCGCGGGCATTAGTGGCGGCGGTGTCGTGGTTCTCGGGCAGGACGAGAGGGGTGTGCTCGCCGGATTCGCCCCGCCAGATCGTCGGGATCGTCGAGATCCCGTGAGTGATTCCAAAGATTCCGCCACCACCTGGGTGGACGTTCTGGGCGATGGCGGCGACGAGTTTCGCGGGGTCGTGCAAGCGGCTTGCGCAATAGAGCTTTGAGAAAGAATGTGTGCGAATATTTTTGTGAATATACCGATACCAAAGGCTTCTTTTTCTCTTTGACTGGCACGACCAGGCCATTTGATTGTTTAAATAGATAGAAACATTACATTGGGATTGAGGAATTTCAGGCCAGTTCATGGCACTAGAAGTTTCAGCTTCGTGATTGTGTGCATGAACCAGAGTTTTCATTTTGTCCACGAAAGATATATACGTGGAAGTTTCAATTTCGTGATTGTGTGCATGAACCAAAGTTTCCACCTTGCACGAAAGATAATATTATGTATGGATAGTTTTCTTATCCATCCACGGGATAAGATCTGACGAGCCTGCGAGGCTTTGTGATCAGAAATTATTCTGATGAGATTTGGATAGTGTATACGTAGAGGATGAGTCTATCCATGTGACACATTTGGGGAGCATCGCTTTCGAAGTCAGTTGTGGGCGGTGATCGAGTTTAAGGTAGACCTAAAATCTGTTTGCCATGAGAATATTCTGTTCTTCCACGTGAGAGGGATCCATGGCGCAACGGTAGCGCGTCTGACTCCAGATCAGAAGGTTGCGTGTTCGAATCAGGCTGGGTTCACTTTCGAGAAGATGGCGATTCTTTTTGGGATAATCTCAGTCAGTTGGGATGCGACAATTCAACGGACTCGAACGATCGATAGCTTATAATCTTTGGAATTTTCATAGCTCCAAAATATATATTAAAGACAGGAGAAGACTAAAAATCTGTTTGCCATGAGAATATTCTGTTCTTCCACGTGAGAGGGATCCATGGCGCAACGGTAGCGCGTCTGACTCCAGATCAGAAGGTTGCGTGTTCGAATCACGCTGGGTTCACTTTCGAGAAGATGGTGATTCTTTTTGGGATATTCTCATATGAATCTCAGTCAGTTGGGATGCGACAATTCAACGGACTCGAACGATCGATAGCTTATAATCTTTGGAATTTTCATAGCTCCAAAATATATATTAAAGACAGGAGAAGACTAATAATCTTCTAGACAAGGTTAAAGACAAAAACTTATAATCTTTCATATCTCTTAGACGATTCGCATATTCTTCATTAAGTTTGGTCGTCTATAATGCAGGGATGTCGGGCTCGATTCCCAGGCTCCCCTCACAACCGACAGTACGGAACGTTTCACCCCCCTAACATTAACATGAACGATTTTTACTTCACTAGAAAAATCTTTTCCATTTTATGGGATCTCTGGAATATCCTTCCAGTCGAGTCGCGCTGGATCCGGGCGAGGGCACAGCCCACATTTGATCCTCCGGCGAGCATTTCCACGGATCGGCCCAAATTTCGCGAAATCAGGTGCGTTCTCTGCGCGATCTAGGCGCGATCTGGGATTTCGCGGCTCCTGGAGGGAGCTCGGCGAGATCTGGCCATGGACGCGCACCTCCGGGAGCTCTTCGACGCCTTCCAGCAGCATTTCGGCGTCGGGCCAGGGCTGGGCCGCGGCTATGGCGGCAGCCTGGTCAGGATCGAGGGGCTGGGCACCGCATTCCTCAAATCGGTGTTCCGGGCAGCGGCAGCGCTGCACAGGTGTAATCCCTGGAAGAAGCTCAGGGCGCAAGAGATCTTTGGCCTGCGCATCGGCAAGGACACCGACTGGCCGGATTCTCGCCCGCCCTTCTACTGCGTCCAGTTCACGAGCTTCGGCGATCCAAGCCTCAATCTCTACCGCAGTGAGGAGGATGCGGTGGCGGCCATAGCGGGAATTCGAGGCTTCCCGGATCCAAAGTCCATTCCAAAGAGGGGATTCCTGCGAGTGACATTTGGACCCGAGGCCGAGATCTCTCTGCCCAACAGGAAGATCATCAAGCAGCTGGGTCTAGAAATCGCTGGCGAGAAAGCGTTTCCACTCATCGACGTGGTTTCTTCTCGAGCTGGAGGTGGTGCCCGAGAAGAAAGCCTTGGCTTTCGGAATCCATCGCTGGAGGAGCTAAGGTGGCTGTACGCTTGCATGAGAGCTCTAGCGCAGATGGTCCCGGCGATCCAGGTGGTGGAGAAGCCACAGCGGAGTATCGAAAGCGTGATGCAGTTCATCGATATCCAGTGGCCAGCCGAGGATCGAAAGGAGTGGGATATCACTTGCGTGAGAGTTTCGTTTCCGCCAAAGGAAGAACAGCAGCAGCAAAACGATCAGCAAGGTGGCAGCCTTCCAAAGCTGGCGGAAGTGAGCGACTTCTCGCCCGAGATGATGGACGTGCTGCTGGCATTGCCTCGCCAGTGCATCGTTTGCGAGAAGGAGGTCTCGGCCGAGAAGGCTCCTCGGTGCAGCCGCTGTAAGGCCGTGGTCTACTGCAGCCATGGCTGCCAGAAGCGGCACTGGAAGGAATCACACAAGGGGAACTGCGAGGTTTACAAGGCCATGATGGATCTCGAGGAGGAGCTCGAGTTCAAAGGCTTTGCATTCCCGTGCTTCATCGATCACTCCTGCCGCTGGCTCGAGCTTCTGGGACTTCACGGCAAGGGGATGTGGAGGAGGATGTGTGGGTGCTTCAAGAACTGCCCGTTTGGTTTGCTTCCACCGGAGGGTGGCGAGACTAGAGCTTGGGGACTCGAGGATTCGCAACACCCGGTTGACGAGCCTGTCAAGCATTACGGCTCGGCTGGAATGGTGGTGCTATCAAACTGGGCCGACTACTACGACTTGCGAGGCCTTCCTGCCGAGAGTCCGGTGGCAGCACTGCTCTCGCATCCACTCACGGTCTACCACATCGTCACAGCTTTGAGTCCCTTCACGAAGAACCTCCTCGCCAAGAACAAGGAGGTTGTTCTTCACTACATCGGTCCGGAGCCCGAGCTCGACTGGATGCCGGCTTTTACAGAGATCTCCCATCTTTTGAGTGGAGCCGGCAGCCTTCACATTATCATGGTTGGGCCGGAAGTTCCAGGCTCGCTTTCCGGGATGACCGAAGTGCTGGAGGAGAGCGTCAAAGTGACTTACGTGCAAGGCTTCTACCAGGAGCACGCTGATTCCTTGCCGCCGCCACACCTGGTGGTGGGATTAAACTCGTCTCTCGAGAGCGATGGTAACTGGACTGGAGCTCTAGAGGTCATCAAGGCGCTGGGAGTTCCAGGATTCTTCACGGACTATGCGGAGACGTGCTGCCTCAACGCAAAGCAGGTTCTACGAGCAGCTGGTCTTCACATCAGTTACCCGCTCACTCCGAATCCGTTTCGTTCTCCCGTGAGGCACCAAATGCCGTCCATCAACGTCCCTTGGTACAGCAATGGATTCATTCTCGGCATCAACGTTTAGTATCACCACCTCTCTGGTAAGCCGAAAATGATCTCGTTCGTATGTATCGACCCGATAGTAACAAAAAAATGTGA